TTCTGATGAAGTCCTTTCTTCTATTCTTTTAGTATAGTTTTAATATAATATATATCATAAAATAATAAATCAAGTCTTCTTAAACATGGAGTCAGATCTTTCTCTCTTCCCTCATCCTCAGACCCCTGTGAACGCTGTCACAGGGGGGTTCCCATTAATCCACAGCTCTCAGCCTTTCCGAGACATGACAGGTGAAGGATTCCTGTCTTTCTGATGGGCATTTAAAAAAGGATTCCACTTCCAACCCTTCACCCTCCTGTGTCTCGGACATACTTTATGAAAAATCCTTTTGCTAGGATCTTTTCTCCTGAGAAGCCTCAGAGGAAAAGACAAACAATGATTATCTGCTGCTGTGGAATGCAACAGGTGCATCTATGATTGGTCTCATGTGGCTGTTTTTAATTAATGGCCAATCACAGTCAGCTGGCTTGGACTCTCTGGTCAGTCACAAGATTTTATTATCATTCCTTTCTATTCCTTGCTGGCCTTCTGATGAAATCCTTTCTTCTTTTAGTAGAGTTTTAATATATCATTTTCTTTTAATATAATATATATCATAAAATAATAAATCAGCCTTCTGAAACATGGAGTCAGATCCTCATCTCTTCCCTTGTCCTGAGTCCCCACCAAACTGCCTGGAATGAGGCTTGGAGTGACTCAGGGCTGCCCCCATCACTCTGCACAGCTCCTGAAAGGTGCCTGTGCTCACCTGCGGCTGGTCTCTTTCTCCAGCAGCACTGACACACCCAGAGCACACAGCCTTGAGTTGCACCAAGGGAAATACAGGTTGGATAGCAGGGAAAAGGTTTTTCCAGCAAGGGTGAGAAAGTTCTGGAATGGCTGCCCAGGGAGGTGGTGGAGTCCCCATCCCTGGGTGTGTTTAACAAAGCCTGGATGTGGCACTGGGTGCCAGGGTTCAATTGAGCTGTTGGGGATGGGTTGGACTCCATGATCTTGAAGGTCTCTTCCATCCCAGGGATTTTGTGAATTCTGATTCATCCCAGACACATCTGGACATTTTCCCCACTATTCCAATGGATAAAATACCAGTACTAATCTTCCTGGCAAGAGGGCTTGTTGTTCATGAACTGAAATAGTTTCTGTTTTATTGAAGAGTAGAGCATGTACCTGGAAAGGAACATCAGCCATGGTCTTGGCCAGGTAATAGGCTTTCAGGCTGTACCAGTAGTTCAGATGCTCTCTGAGAAATACTCCCATCTCAAGGGGAACTGCAGAGAACACAGATTATTCAGTCAGACAGGCAGGGTGCAATGCTGCTTCACATAAAAACAACACAAATGTTGTTGTTAAACACATAAAAACAAGATTTTTGTTTTACCCTAATAAAGAACTCTTATTCCTACTGCCATATCTTTGCCCAAGAGCCCCTTAATTTCAAAATTATAATAATTCAGAGGAATAATCAAATCCTGCACTGCTGCAGTCCCAGGGTGGGACTGGAACTCTCAGGTCTTTGACAGAGCAGCAGAAGTTCCAGTGATTTGTAATGAGCTGTAAAAGGTCAGCCCATAGAGCTGCTCACTGTTGAGGCTGTGGACCACTCTACTCAGATGATCTGAACCTCCCTTAAAGAGGATTTTTCAATTTAAAGTGGTGTCAAAACTTAAAGAACTTGGTTATTCTTTGTGGTCCAACAGGGAATCCAAAGTAACAGCACTCCCAGAGCAGGTGTGAAGCAGTCCATTCTGCAGGAGTTTGCTTCTGACACCACATGAATGAGCTGATTTTATGCAGGAATCATAACTTGGAAGCCCCAGATAAATTATTCCATCCTCCCTAAGCCCAACCATGAGCTCAGGGTATGGCTGAGCTGCACTGGGATAAGGAGAAATTCCAGTCCAGGACTGTGACACTGAACTGTCTGTGCTGGAAAACATTGGGAAAACTGGGCAGGGAGCAGTGCCACTGGCCAAACCTGCTCCTGCTTGCACAGTTGTGCTTCTGGGTGTGCAAGGTTTATCCCCACACCTGTCTTAGAGGCAGAATCACAAGTCAAATGCTGTCTTACACCAACCCAGACACATCCCAGCATTCCAGCTGTCGCAGACGTCTTTTCATGAAAAATCCTTTCCTTAGGNCTCCCATATCTTTGCCTGAGAGCCTCTTAATTTCAAAATCATAATTCAGAGGAAGGGGGTTTGCATTCTGCATTTCAAGGGAAGCAGGAGGGCTGGAGCCACCATTGAATGGGACTGCTGCCACCACCCTGACCCACAGGGTGTCAGCTCCTGTTCTGACTCTGTCAGAGTTTTGTTTGGTTTTGGGGATTTTTGGTTTTTGGTTGGGTTTTTTTGTTGTTTGTTTGTATTGTTTCATTTGTATTTTTATTTTTTCCCTATTAAAAAACTGTCCTATTCCCATATCTTTGCCCGAGAACCCCTTAATTTCAAAATCATAATAATTATGAGGGAAGGGGTTTACATTCTCCATTTCAAGGGAGGCAGGAGGGCTGCAGCCACCATGGAATGGGACTGCTGCCACCACCCTCACCCACAGGGGGCCAGGGCATGTTCTGACTCTGGCAGTGTTTTGGTTTTTTGGGTTTTTTTTTTCTTGTTTGTTTGTATTATTGCACTTTTGTTTATATTTTTTCCCTAATAAAGAACTGTCATTCCTATTTCCCATATCTTTGCCTGAGAGCCCCTTAACTTCAAAATCATAGTAATTCACAGCGATGAGGTTTACATTCTCCATTTCAAGAGAAGCTCCTGCCTTCCTCAGCAGACACCTGCCTTTCCAAACGAGGACAAGTACCTGCAGGGACGTGGAGGCTGCCCCTATGAGCAGGCCCAGCGACTGAGCCACCAGGGAGGTCATGGTGCCCAGGGCGGCGAAGAGCACGAAGCGCAGCGCGTCCGAGGGCTGGGAGGTCATCCAGTACACGATGCTGCAGTAGGCCACAGGGAACATGATCTGCAAGGACAGGCACTGGCAGTGAGCCCCTGGCACCAGACACTCACTGACACCCTGAGTGACACAGAAACGTGGGGGGTGTCACAGGCATCTTTTATGGAAAATCCTTTCCTTAGGGTTTTTTCTCCTGAGAAGCTGAGAAGCCTCAGGAACAAAATGCAAACTATGATTATCTGCTGCTGTGGAATGCAACAG